CGTCTCCTCGCTAGCAGCAGAAAGTTGAGGCCCAGCAGCAGCAGCAGCAGCAGAGATAGCTTTCTGAGGAACACACAGCAGCAGCAGCAGCAGCAGCAGCAGCAGCAACAACAGCAGCAGCAACAGCAGCAACAGCAACAGCAGCAGCAACAAAAGCAGCAAAAACAGCAGCAACAACAACATAAGTGACAAGGCGCCTTAATATCGTCTACTGTCATTCCCTGCTGCTGCTGCTGCTAGTGCAGCAGCAGCAGCAGCAGCTGCTGCTGCTGCTGCTGTTGCTGCTGTTGCTGCTGCTGCTGCACCTACAACAATTTCTGCTTCTCTCGCCGTTGTTACCACTTCTACTACTACTACTACTACTACTGCTGCTGCTGCTGCTGCTGCCGCTGCTGCCGCTGCTGCCGCTGCTGCTGCTGCTGCTGCCGCTGCTGCTGCTGCTGCTGCTGCTGCTGACCTGATTCTGTGTACGAGTTTAATGATGGCTTGTCTGGTGAGGTGGGCCTCCACCTCTGCGCTGTTTGCTGCTGCACCTTCTTGGTTTCCTTTCTCCCTGCTGCTGCTGCTGCTGCTGCTGCTGCTGCTGCTGCTGCTGCTGTTTCTGGGGCTGGGGCTGCTGCTGCGGCTGCTGCTGCTGCTGCTGCTGCTGGGGCTGCTGCAGCTGCTGGTGTCTGCTGTGCTGCTGTCGTCATCAGGTGTACATACAGTCGGCAGCAGCTGCTGCAGCAGCAGCTGCTGCTGTTTATAAAGAATATGTGGTGCAGCAGCAGCAGCATCAGCAGCAGCAGCAGCAGCAGCACGAATATTAAATATAAAAGTATGTGTACGGGTTTTAATAGAATGTAGAACCTTAACCTTAGCATCAGCAGCAGCAGCAGCAGCAGCAGCAGCAAACAAAGAGCAGCAGCAGCGTAAAGATATTATATGCTGCTGCAGCAGCAACGCATGCATATGTATGTGTTCCATACACAAACTCTGGCTATCCAGCAGCAAAGACAAACGAGACAAGCTGTCGATGGCTCCGCTTATGTATGAAGGGCCTGCATGCACACACACAGCTCACACACTTGCTGCTGCTGCTGCTGCTGCTGCTGCTGCTGCTGCTGCTGTTGCTGCTGCTGATGCTGGTGGTGTTGATGGTGGTGGTGCTGCTGATGCGGGTGGTGCTGATGCTGGTGGTGCTGATGCTGCTGTTGATGCTGCTCCCGTTGCTGCTGCTGCTGCTGCTGTTGCTGAGGCTCTACCAGAACAGCAGCAGCAGCAGCAGCAGCAGCAACAGCAGCAACAGCGATAGCAAGAAGGTTAGAAACAACAACAGCAACAGCAACAGCAACAGCAACAGCAACATCAGCAACAGCAACAACAGAAACAGCAGCAACAGCGACAGCAGCAGCAACAGCAGCAACAGCAACAGCAGCAACAGCAGCAACATCAACAGCAGCAACAGCGACAGCAGCAGCAACAGCAGCAACAGCAGCAGCAGCAGCAGCAACATCAACAGCAGCAACAGCAGCAACAGCAGCAGCAGCAGCAGCAACAGCAACAGCAGCAGCAGCAGCAGCAGCAGCAGCAGCAGCAGCAGCAGCAGGATTACCCCCATAGCCACCATAGCTCCAGCCTCCATAGCCGCCGTAGGGGGCCCCATAGTAGCCAGCTGTGCTGCTGCTGTAGTAGGGGTTTATGCTGCTTGCTGCTGCTGCAGGTGCTGCTGCATATATATTACCATCTGCTGCTGCTGCTGCTGCTGCTGCTGCTGCTGCTGCTGGTGTTGCTGCTGCTGCTGCTGTTGCTGCAAACGGCTGCTGCTCGCATATAGACACGCTCGTGCTGCTGTGTCTGCTGCTGCAGCAGGAGCAGCAGCAGGAAGACACAGACCGCTGCTGCTGCTGCCGATAGTAAAAGGTAACGCCAGCTGCTGCTGCTGCTGCTGCTGCTGCTGCCACGGTTTAGGAGGGGATTGCTCCATTTTGTTCTTTTGCTGCTGCTGCTGCTGTTGCTGCTGCTGTTGCTTCTTCTGCTGCTGCTCTTGCTGCGGCTGTTGTTGCTGCTGCTGCTGCTGCTGTTGCTGTCGCAGCTGCTGTTCAGCTGCTCGTGCTGCTGCTGCTGCTATTACTGCTGTTGTTTCTGCCTCTAATACTGCTGCTGCTGCTGCTGCTGCTGTTGCTGCTGCTGCTGCTGCTGCTTCTCGTTGTGGGTTTGCTGCTGTAAGGACTTCGTATGAAAGACTGCAGCAGCAGCAGCAGCAGCAGCAACAGCAGCAACACCTGTGGCAGCAGTTGCTGCTGTAGCAGCAGAAGTGGTGCTGCAGCAGTTTGTGCTGCAGTAGCTGCTGCTGCAGCTGCTACAACTGCAATAGATGTTGGCAGCAGCAGCAGCAGCAGCAGCAGCGGCTGCTGCTGCT